ATAAATTTGTATTATTATTCTTTTTCTTAAAATAACATTTATAGTAAACTATAACTGTATGATGCACGTAAGAAACCAACTCGTATTTAACTAATTCATATGTATGGTAAACACAAAAATACCAAGGATACACTCAGCAGCAGTGTATACATGTATATAAACCAAGGATACAGACTCGGCATAGTATACACGTACAGAAACCAATGATACATAACATACCTTCTTATTTGGGCGACTGACATGGATTACATACGCTTTGCATGGATATTTATTTGTCTTTGGGTCTCCTTTTACTTGCTCTCGTGTCTATTTGTATATTTGACAATCTAAACATCCATGTCTGTCTGTATCTCTGTTTATCTCCTCTCTCTCTCTCTCTCTCTCCCTCTCTCTCGCTCTCTCTCTCTCTCTCTCTCTCTCTCTCTCTCTCTCTCTCTCTCTCTCTCTCTCTCTCTCTCTCTCTCTCTCTCTCTCTCTCTCTCTCTCTCTCTCTCTCTCTCTCTCTCTCTCTCTCTCTCTCTCTCTCTCTCTCTCTCTCTCTCTCTCTCTCTCTCTCTCTCTCGCTCGCTCTCTCTTTACGAAATAAACATATCTTAAACAACATATTTCGTCCCACTTTCTTTATATAGCTCGACTTGTTTAGTCTTCAAAGGCAGCCATTTTAACGTCTCGGGCTCTGACATATAAACATCTCGGGTTGAGACATTTAAAAAATCGTTTGAGGCACTCAGCCACTTTGCATTATCTTGCCTACCCTTAGTGTCGCCCACATAACCTGCCTGGAGAACTCGAAAGTGCCTCATTTCTCTTCAAGTGATATCTTTCCAAAATCATTTATTTGAAGTGTTTCCACTCCTCATCTCTCATTCCTTCTGTTCTTGCAGCCAAACACCTGTTAACATATACACTCATAGAGACATATGTACGCACACACACATGCACGTGCTCATACGTAGATATATAGGCACATATACTTATACATATGTACTCATACACATATCTACTACCACATGCATAAGCAGGTATATATATATATATATACATATGCGTACACACATGCGTTACAATGCACGCGCAAAATTCTTGCCTCGCGCGCGCACACCCACACGCATACACGAACACACACACACACACACACACACACACACACACACACACACACACACACACACACACACACACACACACACACACACACACACACACACGCAATACTAAAGACATCAGCCCCACACACAGTTGAGATCAACTCCTCCCTCCCCAAGAACATAATCTCTCGCACCAACATCACCTCCCGCACCAACAACATCATCTCGTACATTAACAACATCAACTCCCGCACCAACAACATCAACTCCCGCACCAACAACATCACCTCCCGCACTAACAACATACAAATTACAACAAACATTCTTATACAATTAAACAATCAAACCACCAGTACTCACACACGTGTCGGGCCAAGCAATATGAATGTTATAAATTTCCTCCAACACAAACATAGCATTAAGGAGGAACTCCGATAAGCGGTTTTCCCTCTTTTTGGCCACGCTTGCCCCCCCCCCCCTTCCCCATCGCCCCCCCCCTAACCCGTGCCGTCGACCCCTCTCCCACCCACGGTCCCTTCTGTATGGTCGATCACCCCACCATAATTTTTGCCAAAAGAGCACTTATGTCTATGAAACGGCCGTAAATATGGACCCTGACTACCATTAGACTCTGTTTAGTTACACATGGTTACTAGGGAGGGGAAGGAGGGGCGAGGGGTTAATATGGCACACGGGGTGAGTGGTCACTAGAAGGGTGAGGGGAAATAAGAGAGAGGGGGACGATTGGTTACTAATACTAGGGAGGGATAGGTAAGGAGTTACTAGAGAGTAAGGGGGGATAGATGAGGCATTGGTGAGGGGGTTAATATAACAGGAGGGGGGGGGGGGTGAGAGGTTACGTGGAGGGATGCGGGGGTTAAAATGCAGGGAGAGGTGAGAGAGGAGGTGAGGGATGACTAGGAGGAAGAGCGAGGAAGGGGGGGGGGTTAGAGTAGTGAGATGGGGCTACTAGGAGGGGGTGTTGGGTTACTATGGAGGGATGGCGAGGGATAACAAAGAGGAGTGACAAGTTAATATGACGGGAGGTCTGAAGGATTATTATGGATGGAGGGGAAACGAGGGGTTAATATAGCGGGAAAAGTGAGGGGGGGGGTTCTAGATCATTAAGGAGGGGTTACTCGGGAGGGAGACGAGATAAGGAAGGAGCGTGGTGTTACTAGGGAGGAAGGAGAGATAAGGAAGGAACAAGGTGTTAGTAGGGAGGGGGCAGATAAGGAAGGGGCAAAGTGTTACTAGGGAGGAAGGAGAGATAAGGAAGGAACAAGGTGTTAGTAGGGAGGGGGGCAGATAAGGAAGGGGAAAAGTGTTACTAGGGAGGAAGGAGAGATGAGGAAGGAACAAGGTGTTAGTAGGGAGGGGGCAGATAAGGAAGGGGCAAAGTGTTACTAAGGAGGGGCGATAAGGAAGGAAGGAACAAGGTGTTACTAGGGAGGGAAGATAAGGAAGGAGCGTAGTATTACTAGGGAGGGAGGGGGGCAGATAAGTGGTTAGTACTGAGGGAATGATGAGGGAGGGAGGGGGGCAGATAAGTGGTTAGTACTGAGGGAATGATGAGGGAGGGAATATCTTGTTACCATAGAGGGAACGGTGTGCGGGTTTTAGCAGGAAGAAGGGTAACAAGAATGGAGGCAAGATGAGGGGAGATGGGTAGAGAAGGCAGGTGATGGTTTTGCCGTTACAACAGTTGATGGAAGGTGTGTGTGTGTGTGTGTGTGTGTGTGTGTGTGTGTGTGTGTGTGTGTGTGTGTGTGTGTGTGTGTGTGTGTGTGTGTGTGTGTGTGTGTATGTGTGTGTGTGTGCGTGTGTGCGTGTGTGTGTGTGTAAGAGGAAGGTGGCACAGGATACAGCCTCCCTGATGCTATAACGTTATGAACGAGTGATAATTTTTTAAATATCTATACCCTTCATTTACTATAATAATCCCCCTTTTTCCTTTTCACAGATACTTCCCAACCCCGTAAAAATGGGGGGTTGAACTTAAGCTCTTTGGTCCCGACACTCAACGTCTGTCACATCTACCACTGAACATATGTATGGAGTCTTCCTCCAACACTTCACTTCGTGGTAAATTCTATTTTAACAACGCTGACACTGAAACAAATCTTTTGAGTGTCTCTTGTGGTTCATTCGACAGTGAGTCCTTGTTTCTGTACCACACAGGGCAATTGCCCTGTCCTTGTCCGCCCTGTCTATTCTGAAAAATTTGTGTGGTATAATTACGATTCCCTTGACAATTCCATCCATCTTCCAGTGACGTGAAATAATTTAATTCATCTACTTTTCAAAGTGTGCATGTATGGTAGATGTTTGTGTATTTATGCAATAACTTTGCACATGTGCGCTCATGTATCTGTTAATTTTAACCAAGTGTAATTTGTGTATGAGCATGCATGTGTGTGTTGGGTAGGGTGGTGTATAGTATGTACAAGTGTAGTGGTGTATGGTATACATATGTGTAGAGTGGTATATGTTATATACAAGTCTATGATGTATAGTATACAGGTGAATGCTGATGTGTAGTACACATAAGCATATGCCGGTATATATTGTATATACAAGTGCTACTTATATGATATCTTTAAGAGAGAATGTCTGTATAAGGTTGAACTCCAGACGCTTGGAGCTAGTCTCACGAACCTTTGCAGGGTGAATGGCAAGGGATACGGGACGGACACTGGGTGGTCAAGATCGAGTTCGGTGTTCCTATGGCAACAATAATACACAAATATCCCTCCCCCCCCCATACACACACACGTCCGTCGCATGAAATGGCAAATTACACAAATTTCCAATCTCGCTAAATAAAAAAAATCCCTCCTAAGATTCATCTAGCATATTAAACATTAGATTCTCTTACGCGGCTTATTGATGATGACACTATTTAGTGAAAATAGGAATGGAGAAGGTGGGAGATAAGTCGGGCGCCGCCGGGTGTTCCTTCTAATATAGTATATACGAGAGTATACTGATATACAGTATACACAAGTGTATGCTGATGTAATGTGCTGCACTTATACAAACACAAATGATAGGTCGATGAAAGTCACCAGATAAATGAGGCTTCATTTAGTGCTTCCCTTGTCAAATAATCAAGCCAGGAATTGTAAATTATCCAGGACTGGTTCCCCACGGCCCAGTCGACTGGTTCCCCACGGCCCAGTCGACTGTTTCCCCAAGGCCCAGTCGACTGGTTCCCCACGGCCCAGTCCACTGTTTCCCCACGGCCCAGTCGACTGGTTCCCCACGGCCCAGTCGACTGTTTCCCCACGGCCCAGTCGACTGGTTCCCCACGGCTCAGTTAACTGTCCTTGTCAGCTGATGGTCACTCAAGAGATACCTCCACACTAGCCCCCGTCTACTAGCAGCTTCTCCCCTCATCTTCAATCCTCCTTCCCCTCTTTTTTTTCGTTGCTTTCGTGTCCACTTCTTCCCTCTAATTTCTTCACTCTTTCTATCACTTTTCCCTCTTTCTTCTCCCCTCTCCATATTTGCCCACCCCTCACTAGTTAGACAAACTCTCACTTACTCAATTAAGGCCGATGAGGTGATGTTGATTTCCATTTCATTACCGTCACTACTTCCCGCTACCTGACGCGCAGTAAGCTCCCTCTTGCTGGCGGACTTTCCCTTGTCGCCTTGGTCTTCCCCGGGTTGAGTCCACCCGGCGTGTCACAGCGACAAGCACCCGAACTGTAAATCTTGCCATAAACCTAATGGCCCGTGCCGAGTGTTTACTAATCTTCACGCTGACTGGCTGCAAGCAGGTCACAGGCCCCTCCCCCTATTAGTGTCGTGGGCTGTGATTGGCTAGAGTGCGAGAGGTAGGCGGGGCTGGGCTCGAGGGGTGTCCCCGGAGCGCGGGGTTCCCAGTTAGTGGGTTGGCAGCTGGGAGGTGTATGTTACCAGTCTGCTCGTGAATTGATAACTTGTGTAAACAGTCATATCCGCCGGGGCAGCCTCTTCCCTCACCCATTTATATGCGGATGTTGATGTTTGGGAAGTGGTGAGTGGCACTTGGGGCTGCGTGTGGCCTCTAGTACACCTCAAGTGCTAGCTAGTCCGCTCTCACTGGCGCTACAGCGGCGGTATGGTGACTGATTATGACGGTATCTAACTCGGAGACACGCGGAAGAATTTAATTACACGATTAAACTTAGGAAATATTTCAGTGAAGGTTGTGGTGAAGAGGCAAGCGAGGAGGAGGCAGTGTCAGCAAGCGTCATGTCGGGCGTGGTGGCCGCGGAGGCCGTCAGGCCCAGCCACAACTCCGCTTTCAGCGCCGTCAGTCGCAAGAGTTTCTCCTTCTCCGTGGACTCCATCCTCGCCACCTCTACGCCCAAGGAGGCGCCCAAGGGCTCCAACCCAGGTGGCCTCCCTTTCCCCCCTGCCACACACACGCCTCCTGCCCTCCACCCACTCACGCCGCCCGCTGAAGACAGATTATCCCTGAAGGCGACGCACGACGGCTGTGACGACGACGGAGACGCCGATGAGGAAATCAACGTCGACTCGGAGCCTGAAGACGATGCCCGGTTCGAGTCCCGACTGGAGCGGGAAGAGGAGGTCCGTAGGCTGGGGCCACCCGTGCCCACGTTACTGGGGCATTTGGGGGGCGCCGGGCCGCCCATGCCCCCAGCCTCCACTTCCGCCACCTCCCTGTCACCAGCTGCCACTTGGCCTCCAAACCTCTTCTTCCAGCACCACCTGGCCCTTCGCGCTCTATCCAGTAAGTTCCTCCCTTCTCCCAAGTGTGCCTCCCAAGGGCCCGCCCCCCTCCAACCCAATGAGGAACCCCCCCTCTCCACCACCACCCAGGAGTGGGGGGATAAATGATATATGTAAGAGGAATTAAATGTCCAATTACTGAGATTCCAGTAGTGGTGGCGGTAGTTACGATGATTTAGGGGAGAAGCGGCGGAGAGCCTTTATTTATTGAGTGGGGATGAGAAGGGGGGACGGGAGTAGGGTATTCTGACGGGGGTAAGGAGGGAATGGGGGGGAAACACATGAAATATACAATTTCACATGAAATATATATAATTTATATTAGAATTTTGAGAGCCACACTTCTCTCTCTATATATATTTGTCCACTAAACAAATGATTGACAAGGGAAATTTTCTAACCGATACACCATTCTATTGTTATTGTGATATCTGAATACATCGTACTTATAAACATTATCATAATTCTCAGCAACTAGATGTGTATCAGACATTACCCGTTGCTGCTCAACTTAACAGGAACGCCAGCCTTGTGCGCATGGGAACTGTTGAGATTTGACGCACGTGCATGAATATGCGGTCAGATTATTATGCATGAGCGCCTCTGTGCCTCGGTAAACCTAACCGGCTGTACTGTAGTCTACATACCGTGAGGGATAGTAGCGCCTTGCACTGTAGAATACATATCGCGGATGGTACTAATTATGGTACTGTAGCAGACATATCTTGAAGGATGATAGCCCCGGTACATGTTGTGTCTACAGGATGACTGACCTCGATATATGTGTGTATGTAAGTGGAGATGGTCTCCGTGGAGAGCGCCGGATGGCTGCGCTGAGAGGTTACCTCACACAGGCCAGGGACAGAATGAATAATCTGATCCCCGTTGGTGTTGCGCGTCCTTGTGAAAAATGTGGTTCAATGTGAATGACACGTGCTGCTGCCTGTACGTGTTGATGCCTGTATATCTTATTGATGCCTGTATATCTTGTTGATGCCTGTATATCATTTGCTGATGCCTGTATATTTCGTTGATGTTTGTATGTCTTGTGTTACAGCCTATATATATTTTGTTGATACTTGTATATCTCGCGTTGATGCGTGTATATCTCGGTGATGCCCGTATGTCGTGTTGCTACCTGTATATCTTGCTGATGCCTTTATGACTTGCTGATTCCTGTATGTTGTGTTACTGCCCGTATATTTTGCGGGTGCTTTATATATATTGTGTTGCTGCCTGTATATCTCGTTGATGTCCGTATGTCTTCTGTTGATTCCTATGTACTTTACTGATGCCTGTATATCTTGTTGATGTCTGTGTGTCTTGTGTTGCAGCCTGTATATTTCGTTGATGCCTATAGGTCCTGTGTTGCAGCCTGTATATCTTGTTGTCTGTATGTCTTGCTGATGCCTGTAAATCTCGTGTTCCTGCCTGTAAGATGCGTGTTACCCGGCAGACCCAGGCTAAGACGCAGCTCATATGAATGGTGGCGTCTATGCCTATGGCAACGTCACACGGTCTAGTAGGCTTGGCTGCTACGTAACCAGTCATGTAGAGCCACTAGACATCCCGGATATGGAGTAGGCCTTGAGTCTCAGGCTACAGGTGCTCCAGTGGTAATTTACCTTACAAGGTATAGCTGTGCCGCGGCCTGTATGGCACGAGTTGTTGCTGAAAGCGGGATTTTAGAGAAGATTTTTAGTTAATAGGTTTTCCTACTAGCTATCTGATTACGGACACTGAGTGTTACTGCAAAGCACTGTTTTGGACATTGCACATTCAAGCATTTTCAACATTACACCGTGCAGCATTTTCAATATTGTACCCTGAAGCCTTTTCAACATTGCACTTTGACGCATTTTCAATAGTGCAACGGTAAGCATTTTCAATATTGCAACTTGAAGGAGTTTTAACATTGCAATTTGAAGAATTTTGAATATTGTCCCTTGAAGTATTTTCATTATTGCACAATGAAGCATTTTCAATATTACAACATAATGCATTTTCAGTATTGCATCACGAAGCATTTTTAATATTGAAACATGAAGCATTTTTAATACTGCACCTAGAACAATTTTCAATATCACACCTTGAAGCATTTTCCAACACTGCACCTTCAAACATTTCCAATAAGACGCCATAATAAAACAGTGTTAATATTACACAATTAGTATTTTCAATAATTCCTCATGATAAAATTTCAATATTGCATAATGAAGCATGTTCAGTATTATATTGGAAAGTATTTTCACAATTGTCCCGTTAAGAATGCTCGAAACTGTATAATGGAGCTTTTTCAAGAATGTACAATAAATCATATAAAATATTGCATTTTAAATATTGCAACATGACAATGCTTCAATAGTCTATTGTAGTATGAAGCATTTTAAATATTGCACAATGAAGCATTTTCAACATTGTATAATGATATATTTTCATTGTTCCGTAAAGATAAATTTCCAACTTTATATAGCGACACAGTTGTACTGTTGCAAAATAAAGTTTTTCAATTTTGCAGATTGGTGCATATTCAATATTGTACAATGCTGCATTTACAATGTTTCATAATACAACATTACAATCATGCATACTGGGACATTTTATTATTGCATAATGAAGAATTTTATCATTGCATTAAGGTTTTAATATTGCACAATGAAGCGTTTTTAGCTATTTGAATCAACAATGAAGTATTTCAATACTGCAATATAAAATATTAAAATATACCAATTTTATGCGTTTAATATTACACCATATAGCTTCTTTGGGTGTTGCACAGCAAAAATATTGTAAGATTATTAATTTTAAATATTGCAAAGTCAGTTTAAATATTTAAAAATTAATATATTTCAATATTACACAAACATTTCTGTCTGCACACTTTTATTAATTCCTGCTGTTCTGAATCTTCGCAAGAATATTCACTGAGATGCGTCTCTCTCTCCCTCTCTCTCCCAAGGCTGTCCTGGGAAGACATTCTGTCTCTGGGGAGATAGGATGCTGTTCTAGAAGTCAACCTTCCCTCTCACGGACGTGTTCACACTCAGGTTCATCGTCTTGCGACTCTTTACCAGGCCTCTCTCAGAATGACTTTGATCTAGAGCCCTGTATGGGTCACTTCTAGGTTTCCCATATGGGTCACTTCTAGGTTTCCCATATGGGTCACTTCTAGGTTTCCCATATGGGTCACTTCTAGGTTTCCCATATGGGTCACTTCTAGGTTTCCCATATGGGTCACTCCTAGGTTTCCCACATGGGTCACTCCTAGGTTTCCCATATGGGTCACTGCTAGTTTTTGCATATGGGTCACTCCTCAGTTTCCCATATGGGTCACTCCTCGGTTTCCCAGATGGGTCACTCCTCAGTTTCCCATATGGGTCACTCCTGACTTTCCCATATGGGTCACTCCTCGGTTTCCCATATGGGCAACTCCTCGGTTTCCCATATGGGTCACTCCTAGATTTCCCATATGGGTCACCTCTCGGTTTCCCATATGGGTCACTCCTCGGTTCCCACATGGGTCACTCTTAGGACGTTTCTGTGGGCGTCACTTTCTTAGGCTCCTCTGGGGGCTTGCTTTCTAGGTCTCTCCACAGGTCACATTATCATATAGGCCTAGTGCTCCCTGGGCTCTGGATCCCGTCTGAGGCTTCTGATGGTTATGGCGTTTTGAGGTTTCGACGTCTTACAGTATTTAATCAGGGTTCGTGTTTCTTCGGTTGATGTTTCATGTATTTTGTTCTCATTCGTTATTTTATGTATTTTGGTATACATTTATTAACGTATACTTGCTCTAAATACACAGAGAAATCACATTAAAGTGATATATCAATTAATAAATCCAACAGGAGCCTTGATGAAGGGTCCTGTTGTACCATTCGAACTGTACAATGCTAAACCATTCGAACGCTGTGCGCCTGGCAGTCGACTAGATTCTAGCACGCCTGGGAACACCAGGCGCATAGGTTCGAACCCTCATCAAGGCTCCTGTTGGATGTGTTCATTACTCTTAATCTTTGGCTATACTCGTTTACCTGGAGTGACTATCACATAGTTGAAACACCATTATTATGGTGATTACATTTGGACGGCGCCATGACAGTCGCCATGACATGAATTTTGTGATATATTTTCAACTAGCATCTTATTTGTTTACATTATAGGAATGTTACATATGCGTATTTTAAGATTAAATCTTCCATCAGAAGACAAATTTACCTTATACGAAGCTGTTTTTATTTTTGCAGAGTTGGTAAGTTCGCATATGGGACAATAAGCCTTCTGCTGTTACCTCTATTTTAACGGTCTTATGTTCTCATATTGTTTAGAGTGTCTGTGGTGTTTTTAATATTTATAATCAAGTTATGCAAGAGCTTGAGAATAAGAAAGTGATGTGCCAGGTGGTCCAGAAGTCCAGCTACTGTCCTTGAGGCGCTGCTCGGCGGTGGTGGCTAGGGGCTGACTTCCTGAGATACCATGATGGGTGGCACTATAATAGCAGGACTCCTGGACCGTCCTCTACATTTATATTTTCATATGCTAATTGTATTTCATGAGGTTTGCAATCCTTACCACTGTCCTTCCTTCACCATAACCTTCCCCTCACCACAGTTTCCTCCTCCTACTGGCTCCCCCCTCACTACCGTCTACCTTTCACTATTGTCCACCCCCTCACTATTGTCTCTCCCTCACTATTGTCTCTCCCTCACTATTACCTCCCCCCTCACTATTGCCTCCCCTCACCATTGTCTCTCTCTCACCACTTTGTCCCCCTCACCATTGGCTCCCCCTCACCACTGCCTTCCCCTCACTACTGCCTCTCCCCTCACCACTGCCTCTCCCCTCACCACTGCCTCTTGCTCACCTCTGTTTCTTTATAACCACTGCGTCCCCCTCACCACTGTCTCCTTTACCACTGCCTCTCCTTCGCCAATGCCTCCCCCTCACAATTGTGTTTCCTCCGCCAGAGTCGCCGGAGCCTCCGAAATTCCTGGGGCCGATGAAGGTGACGCTGCGGAAACACAAGCCCAACCGGAAGCCCCGCACGCCCTTCACCACCCAGCAGCTCCTGGCGCTGGAGAAGAAATACCGGGAGAAGCAGTACCTGAGCATCGCCGAGAGGGCCGAGTTCTCCGCCTCCCTCAGCCTGACGGAGACGCAGGTCAAGATCTGGTTCCAGAACCGACGCGCCAAGGATAAGCGGCTCAAGGAGGCGGAATTGGAGAGGCTTCGTTACACATCGCGTCCGCTTCTGCCCCATAACCCTCTGCTGCCTCCCGCCTCGCTCCTGCCGCACTTCCTGCTACCTCCTGGCCTCCACCACCCCTCGCAGCTGCCTCCCAGCCTGCGGCACCTTCCCAGCCACCATGCAGATCTGCGCCCTGGGGGGAACTACGCCAATCCCTCCAGTGTCACAGGTGGCAGTGCCGGGTGCCACTAGCACCGGGTCATACTAGTACCTAATACCTGGTCATACTAGAACTGAGTGCCACTAATACCAGGTGACACTAATGCCTGGTACGGCTAATGCTTGGTGCTGCTAGCGCCGGGTGCCACTAGTGCTGGGTGCAGCTACAGCTGCTACTGGTGCTAGGTGCCACTAACGCCGGGTACTGCTAGTGCTCATTATTACTCGAGTTGGAACTGCTCATACCAAAATGTGCTTAGTTACACAATGGTAAGGTGCCACAGCGCGGGATGTCACTCGAGCTGCGTGCCACAGCGCGGGATGTTACTTGTGCTGGGTGCCATTAGCGGCTGTGGGGCTGGGTGTCGCATGTATGGGGCCCAGCACACTACCCTACGACACGGTGTAAAACTGCAACTGCGTCGGAGCTTGCTGTCAATCTACTGGGTGTAACCCATTACTCTTCATCAGTAAAATAAGAGGCCAGCTGTACGAATCTTCCGTGCCAGCGTGCAGTGCCAGTTGCTTCCGCAGCGACACAGGGCCAGACTGGCGTGCCTACCCGAGTGGCATAGCACTGCCCCACAAGAGCAGTCAGTGCCAATGCTTCTCCCCCCCCCCTCTCCCTCCAAACAACAGTTAGCACTCTACTAACACCTTCATGCCAAAGATACTGCGCCGTCTGTGGAACAGGGCGGAGCATATAATGATATAACAATGATGATATACTTCACTTTATTATTCGTACTCTAATCCCCCCAAATAAATATGTATTATGTTAAATATATTTTATTTTAACGCCTATGTAGAAAGGACCAAAAAATCTATAATATTTTAACGACAAAAAATTTCAGAGCACTTTTATTGTCACTATGTTTGTAATATTTATAAAACATAATACACAGATAATATTAGTAGGTTGACAATTTTATCTGAGAATACAACTTAGTTCCCGGAGTGCAGTCAGACAGGCACACATACAAGAACATTATATACCACATATGTCAGGTCAATCCTGGAGTATGCAGCTCCAGCATGGAGTCCATATCTGGTCAAGCATAAGACTAAACTGGAAAAGGTTCAAAGGTTTGCCACCAGACTAGTATCCGAGCTGAGAGGTATGAGCTACGAGGAGAGACTACGGGAATTAAACCTCACTTAAGAACATAAGAACAAAGGCAACTGCAGAAGGCCTATTAGCCCATACGAGGCAGCTCCTATTTCGTTGGAAGACAGAAGAGTTAGGGGGGAAATGATCACCACATTCAAGATTCTCAAGGGAATCGACAGGGTAGATAAAGACAGGCTATTTAACACAAGAGGCACACGCACTAGGGGACACAGGTGGAAACTGAGTGCCCAAATGAGCCACAAAGATATTAGAAAGAACTTTTTTAGTGTCAGAGTGGTTGACAAATGGAATGCATTAGGAAGTGATGTGGTGGAAGCTGACTCCATACACAGTTTCAAGTGTAGATATGATAGAGCCCAGCAGACTCAGGAACCTGTACACTTGTTGATTGACGGCTGAGAGGCTGGACCAAAGAGCCAGAGCTCAACCCCCGCAAGCACATTTAGATGAGTACAAAGAAGCACTCGTCAAATATACTACCATGAAAAGAAATTATTAGGAGAAAACGCTAAGCCAATATGACTAAACAGCCATACAAGCATAAATTACGTCTTGCATTACATTTCTAAGGCAGTGCATATAGAACATACGTTCATTGTTTTATATATATTAGTATATTTTGGTAGCAGTCTTTCTTGTAAAAATATGTTGTTAAATATGACCGAAAAAGTAAGATTAATAATTCTAACACGAATTTTCTCAATATTTATTATGTTCTTTTACCCTACCTAACCTAACCTAAACAAACATTACTCAGTCAATAATTTATGTTTTTAATATAATATAAAAATTTCAGATAAACCAATTGGAGAATTTTTGTTGAAAATAAAGAAAATCACTCGGCCTATTAGGCAAATCGGGCCTTGCATAGTAGGCCGAGAAATGCGTTCTGGCTACTAGGTACGACATATATATATATATATATATATATATATATATATATATATATATATATATATATATATGTCGTACCTAGTAGCCAGAACTCACTTTTCAGCCTCCAATGCAAGGCCCGATTTGCCTAATAAGCCAAGTTTTCATGAATTAATATATTTTCTCTAATTTTTTTCTTATGAAATGATAAAGCAACCCATTTCATTATGTAAGAGGTCAATTTTTTTTTATTGGAGTTAAAATTAACGTAGATATATGACCGAACCTAACCAACCCTACCTAACCTAACCTAACCTATCTTTATAGGTTAGGTTCGGTTAGGTAGCCGAAAAAGTTAGGTTAGGTTAGGTTAGGTAGGTTAGGTAGTCGAAAAGCAATTAATTCGTGAAAACTTGGCTTATTAGGCAAATCGGGCCTTGCATAGTAGGCTCAGAAGTGAGTTCTGGCTACTAGGTACGACATATATATATATATATATATATATATATATATATATATATATATATATATATATATATATATATATAATATGTGTGTGTGTGTGTAAATCACGAAAATTAACACCTGATGAAAAATGTGACAATGTCAGACCACGAAGGAAGAATTGAAACAGGAATTTCTTTAAGTATTTTCGTATTTAATAACACATCTTCAGAAGGATGAGTTACAAGTCATATATAGATTTGGACATAGATAGGCAGGAGAGGTGAAGTGAAGTGAGGTACAGTGACAAATATATGAATGGGATTGGGTGGATATTAATAGGATCGGCATCGTATGGGCCAATAGGTATATTAATAACATAAGATAGTGGATATTAACACGGCATTAGTGAGACAAATGTCTATCAATGATCCTACTCAAATCGCCCTTTAACTGACCAATCAAAAATGGATCTAAATTATATACACCACTGCTAATGTTCAAATTACATGATTTTGAAATTTTTATTAAAGCAGATTCAATTATGTTTCTACTGAAAATGGTTTTACAATTCGTTATTGAAGAAGCCATCTCCCAATCAATTTGGTGAGAATTTTCTGACAAATGAACAAACAAAGCATTAGACAATTGGCCATGTCTTACAGTGTATTTATGTTGCGAAATTCTACATTTCAAATCTTTAGATGTTTGCCGAACATAGAACCTATTACAGTCTTTACTAGGTATTTTATAAATGATATAATTATCACTACGAGGACTGTTTCTAACTAATAGTTTTCCAACAGTATTTTCGAAATTAAACAATACATGTATATAAAAAAGTTTCAAGGCCTTGATAATATTTTCAAACCCAGAAAAATATGGTAAACATAACACATTCTTTGGGCGAATTTTCGCACTGCATATATTATTATAATATGTACGACGTGCTTTGCTACGGCAAACTTCCAAAAAACTCAGTGGAAAAAGAAGCTTGAGACCAAAAGAATCAATATTCTTAAACTCTTCATCTAAGAGTTCTGGACTAACAACCCAAAGAGCTTTTAGATACACACACACACACACATTATATATATATATATATATATATATATATATATATATATATATATATATATATATATATATATATATATATATATATATATATATATATGTGTGTGTGTGTGTGTGTGTGTGTGTGTGTGTGTGTGTGTAAATCACGAAAGTTAACACGCGATGAAAAATGTGACAGTGTCAGACCACGAAGGAAGAACTGAAACAGGAATTTCCTTAAGTACTTTCGTATTTAATAATACATCTTCAGAAGGATGGAGTTACAATTCAGTGGTGTGGATATATAGGCAGGAATGAGTTGAGGTGAGAAACAATGTCTTTAATGAGATAAGAGGATATCAATAAGGTATTATTGAGATAAATGTGTATCAATGATCCTTCTCAAATTCCCCTTTAACTGATCAATCAAAAATGGATCTTGATCCATTTTTTATCAGATATACTTTTTATTGACCAGTTAAAGGGCGATTTGAGTGGGATCATTGATACTCATTTATTTCAATAATTCCTTATTAATATCCTCTTATCTCATTAAAGACATATGTGTGTGTGTGTGTTTGTATTCACCTAGTTGTGCTTGCGGGGGTTAAGCTCTGCTCTTTCGACCCGCCTCTCAACTGTCAAACTGTCAATCAACTGTTACTAACTACTATTTTTTCACACACACACACACACACACACACACACACACACACACACACACACACACACACACACACACACACACACACACACACGCACACACACAGATGAGAAGGATTAAGGCAGAGGAGGACTGCTTGAGGCTTCAAGAAGACCTAGACAAGCTGAAGGAATGGTCGAACAAATGGTTGTTAGAGTTTAATCCAAGCAAATGTAATGTAATGAAGATAGGCGTAGGAAGCAGGAGACCAGATACAAGGTATCATCTGAGAGATGAAATTCTTCAAGAGTCAGAGAGAGAAAAAGACTTGGGGGTTGACATCACGCTAGACTTGTCCCCTGCTGCCCATATCAAGAGGATAACATCAGCGGCATATGCCAGGCTGGCCAATATAAGAACGGCATTCAGGAACTTGTGTAAAGAATCATGCATAACTTTGTATACCATATATGTCAGGCCAATCCTGGAGTCGGCAGCCCCAGCATGGAGTCCATATCTAGTCAAGGATAAGACCAAACTTGAAAAGGTTCAAAGGTTTGCCACCAGACTAGTACCCGAGCTGAGAGGTATGAGCTACGAGGAGAGGCTACGGGAATTAAACCTCACTTGGCTGGAAGACAGAAGAGTTAGGGGGGACATGATCACCATATTCAAGATTCTCAAATGAATTGATAGGGTAGATAAAGACAGGCTATTTAACACAAGGGGTACACGCACTAGGGGACACAGGTGGAAACTTAGTGCCCAAATGAGCCACAGAGATATTAGAAAGAACTTTCTTAGTGTAAGAGTGGTTGACACATGGAATGCATTAGGAAGTGATGTGGTGGAGGCTGACTCCATACACAGTTTCAAGTGTAGATATGATAGAGCCCAATAGGCTCAGGAACCTGTACACCTGTTGATTGACAGTAAGAGAGGCGGGACTAAAGAGCCAGAGCTCAAACCCCGCAAGCACAATTAGGTGAGTACACACACACACCACAAAGCTGAGTGCTGTACCACTATACACAACACCACAAGGCTGAGTGCTGTACCACTATACACAACACCACAAAGCTGAGTGCTGTACCACTATACACAACACCACAAAGCTGAGTGCTGTACCACTATACACAACACCACAAAGCTGAGTGCTGTACCACTATACACAACACCACAAAGCTGAGTGCTGTACCACTATACACAACACCACAAAGCTGAGTGCTGTACCACTATACACAACACCACAAAGCTGAGTGCTGTACCACTATACACAACACCACAAAGCTGAGTGCTGTACCACTATACACAACACCACAAGGCTGAGTGCTGTACCACTATACACAACACCACAAGGCTGAGTGCTGTACCACTATACACAACACCACAAAGCTGAGTGCTGTACCACTATACACAACACCACAAAGCTGAGTGCTGTACCACTATACACAACACCACAAAGCTGAGTGCTGTACCACTATACACAACACCACAAAGCTGAGTGCTGTACCACTATACACACACCACAAAGCTGAGTGCTGTACCACTATACACAACACCACAAAGCTGAGTGCTGTACCACTATACACAACACCACAAAGCTGAGTGCTGTACCACTATACACAACACCAC